GGGAAAGGTAACCACCCTGTAGTATATTCAGAACCATGCACTGTGAGGGCTTCGAGAAGGGAGACGGCAGACACCTGACCGGGGGAACACTGCCTCTCCCTGAGGAAGGGGCTGGAAGCTGGTCTTCCCCCTCCAAGAGCAGGCAATGCACTGAGTCTTTATGCAAAGCCAACACTGAGCCATGGCCATGGGCATCTCTGTGGGGACCCTGGCAAAGGAGCCTATTCCACGTGTCCCCAAGGAGATGGAAACTGAGACAGTTGTTTGGAACAGTGCTGCATAGTAAAAATGTATGTGGCCACCTTACAGTACTAAGTTGCTAAAATATATAAAATTAATATTTGAGTTCTATTTTTATAAAATAGTTCTAGATTTATGGCAATATGTACATGTGTATTTATAGCCTTTTGATTTTAATTTATAGTTTTTTGCTTTAAAGAATATATGTATGGTTAAAGAACTACATACTGATTATATCCAGATTATTTAAAGACTGTGAGCTGTATTCAATAAAACGTAATGCCAAGGATGATGTTGGCCTTTATTTCTACCCAGAAATGCTCTAAAATATAATGTTGCAAATTATCTGAGCTGGGTCAAGAATTCATTTGTGTCTCTCTGGGATCTGCCAGCAGCAGTAGCAGATGTTTAAAAGACACAGTGAGGGCCAGGTGGTGGCTCAGCAGTAATGCAACTGGCCCACGTGAGAGAGATCCCCAGTTCATGTCCCAGAACCCCCCTGAGCGTGCTGGGTGCTTTCACATGTGCCTGTAATCTGGCGTAGCCGGAACCGGGGGTGGGTTGCAGCAGGGAGACCCTGTTGGGGGTGATCTCTCTTGCTGTCATTCGATTTCTCTCTCTCATCAGAGAAACACATACATTAATTTTTTAATGAAGTAAATTTCTAAAAAGACACGGGGATTTGGGAAAAAAAGGGAAGAGGAGACTGGTCTCTCTTAGGGTATGGCATGCCACTACAGGGCGTGGGGAAGGCACGGGCTGGAGGCTTCAGGGGATGTTTGAGATCAGGTTGGCAGAAACCTGGGCGTGGAAGTGGTGCCCCCACTTAAGCCTGCACGTACGAGTATAAGCAGCCCAGAGCAGGGAGGTGCCAGTCTGAGCAGGATGCCTGGGCAATAAACCCAGCTCTAACCCGACCTTGCTTTAGATTCTGGGGAAGTCTCTTCATTTCTCTAGGCCTGACTTTTCTCATCTGTAAAACGGACACATTGATGTCAACACTACTTGCTTCTAGGGTGGTGAGAGATGGGTTTAGGTGAACGTTGCACAGAATCTCAGGAGGAGTGCGGAAGCCTAGCCTCTTGTTGCAGGTTCCCTGATTCGGGAGCGCTCGCTGCCCACAGATGCATTCCAAGTTGCAGGACTGCCTCCATAGCTGCAGAACTCCTTAGAACTGAGGCTCCTCTGAACAGAAGCCCAAATTACTATCCAATCTGAGCCTAAAAGGGACCATTACGTGCACAGATTTGAGGCACTGGGATGCAAAGAGGTAACGGCTATCCTTCAGGAGTGGCGGAGGGGAAAGGAACCCACAGGCTCCAATGACAGGTTTGCATTTTTATCACAGACATCACAAGTGGTCCCAGAATGACAAGACCTGGAGAGGCAGACCACAGGGAGAAGCACTAGCAGGCGAGCCAGGGCCCAACGCCCTAAATAATGCCACCTCTCCCATGGTCTCTGAAGCTCCCTGTGTGGGGTGGATGTTGGTGGAAATGCAAAAGAGCCTCTTCCAGGTTCACAGAGCAACTAGATGTTTCCAAGTTAACTCTCTCTCTCTCTTTAGTATTTATTTCTTTTTTTTAAAAAAAATGCATTTATTTATTTATTTTTGCAGTAGGGCACATGCACTCACCAGAGAGAGACAGACAGGGGAAGAGAGAAGTGAGAAAGTACTGGGTCCAGGACTCAAACCACACAGCTGGCCATGTAGGATCTAGCTGCCTTAACCACTACGCCACCTTGCTGGCCCCCAAGTTTCTCTTTTATTTTTTAGAGAGGTTTTTGCTATAGAGTGTATGCTATCTCTGTCTCTCTTGAGAGACAGAGAGACAGAAAGCAAGAAGTTATCCCCCAGGGGGGAAGACCATACCATAATCCCTTCTCCTTCATTGGAATTTTGGGTATATACCTACACACACCCAGCGTGAGTTTTAGACAGCCACTGGGTGTGGGACTCAAACCGTGGTCAATTACATGGGAGTCCAGCAACATAACCATTATGCCATCTGCTGGTACCCCAAGTTACTCTTAAACAGTCCTTCTTGGCAAAAAGCAAAGAGAGAGACAGAGACTGACCAGTTCAGGTGAGCTCCATGCTTTGCTGTTTCTCTGAGTCTCTTTTGAAGAAGCCTCAGCATCTGCATCTGCAGGATAAACACCATGGCCTCCCTGGCAAAGGCTGGCCTCGCGTCACATAAAGGGCCCTTTCCAAAGCTCTGTTCTCCCTCATTCCCAGGGGCTGCTCTCTTTGCTCTTCTCCTACCATCTGTTCCTTCCATCTCCTTCGGGGATTTCTCTTCCTATTTTTGTCCCTTATATGTCAACAGACCCCACAGCCTGTCCCTGGTCTCTCTTCCTTTATTTCCTTTTTAAAGTTCATTTAACTATTTCTTCCATGTGCGAGAAAGAGAGGGGCACTTCCAACAGGGTCTTCCTGCTGCAGTCCACCCCCAGCCTCCGTCATCCTGGATCTTAGGCACACGTGTGTGTCCAGCATGCAGAGAGGCCCCGGAACCTACCCATTTGGGTCCAGCGTAACACAGCATTGCCTCACCCTGGGCCACGATCTGGCTCCTCCGTGTTTTATATTAAGAAGCAGCAGGCCCACCCAAGGTGTGCACAGTTAGCATCACTGCTAGGGAAGCTAGAAACCTCACATGAGTCTCGGGGTCCGTTCCCAGGTCACCTACACATGCACGCACCTGTCATCTTAGCTAACTGGGAGGCTGGGACAGGAGGCCTGAGACGCAGAGAGACCGTGTCAATAATAACCTTGGTCTCTACCCCTTCTGCTTCTTTCTCCTCCTCACTGTCTCATGAAGGGGTGGGGGGCCGACTTGATGCAGAAGGGCTTTCTCCATCTACACAAGACAAACACAAAGGGGAAATTCTTTTCAATATATAGTCCAGAAAGAAAATAAATCTTCACATTCCAGAAACAAAAAAGAAGTGTGTTGAAAGCACAGCAGAAAGCAGGAGCCAGAGGTGAATCAGACCAGAGGCTGACCTAGCGCTCCCGCTGGGCTCGCCATCCCATGACACCCATGCAAGGTAGGGGAAGCAGCTGAACTCCCTGCCCCAAACCAGGACCTCCCTGAAATGTTCCACTCATGTGGAAAGGACTAGAAACACCATTCCCATCAGCCCAGGAGAGGATCAGGCCCCAGGTGTGGGAAAAAGGCATCCATGAGAAATTGCAACCATAAACTTGAGCCACGTATGGATAGGGAATCTGAATTTATATAATTTATATGCAAAACAGGGACTCTAAGCCAATCGTTTTACGAGTCAAATTGGCCTGGGTCAGCAAGACCAAAAGATGAGCAGAATCAAACACAAAATCACTTTTTACCAAACACCTACCAAGAGAAAAACACTCCATTAAAGATGAGATCATGGTTAGAAAATACAAACATAAGAAATGGCTCAAACTGAAGGAAAGCAGCAGAAAAGGCAAATGGAAGACTTAACATCACAAGGACTGGAGATAACAGATGAGTCAGGGACAAACCATAAGCCAAGTAGGTTTGTCACTAAAAAAACACGGGGTTCCAACATACATGTAGGAGTTTGGGAAAGAGATTACATAGACATGGGGTTGCAGGGGTTGAACAAAGCACTGTTCAAAGAGAAAATGGCTAAAAATATTTCAGAATTGAAGAAGCACCTCATTCTTTTTTTTTTTTTTTTTTTTTTTTTGAGAGAGATTTTTGTTACAAGGTACATGTACTTGCTGGAGAAAAAGAGAAAGAGAGGGCAAGAAATCATCCTCCCAGGGAAGATGGCCAAGCCACAGTCCTTTCTTTTCCATTTTCCTCCTGGGATTTGGGGCATGCACACAAACATGCCTGGCGTGAGTTTCAAGCCACCAAGTTCAGGATTCAGACTGCGTCGGCCATGTGGGAGTCCAGTGTCTTAACCACTACGCCACCTGCTGGCCCTGAAACACCTCATTCTAATACTCAGAGATCAGAGAGGAGACCATAATAGAAATGTTAAAATACTTAAAGCAGAATGATAGATACCTCACACAGAAACCTGAGGAATATAGTGAAAGTGATGAAGGAAAATGTGTAGCCTTAAGTATTTACAGCAGAAAGATGAAATATTGAAAACTGATGAGCTAAATGCAAAGTTAAAACAAAATTAAAATTTTAATAAATAAAAATAATACAGCGAATAGAGAGTTTTGCTTTTTTAATTTTTTTAATTTTAAATTTATTATTATATTTTTAATTTGAGCACGGAGAGACAGAAAGAGAGAGGTGAGAAAGCAAGCCGCTAGAACTGCAGTTGGCCATGAGGGAGTCCACAGCGTTAACCACCACACCACCTGCCGGCCCCAAGAGTTTTTTTGTTTTTTTGTTTTTTTTAAGGTGCTCAAAGTTTACAGAGAACCAGATAATGAGCTCCTCCAACGCAGAGCACATGGCCGTATTGAACCAAAAGGAAGAAAAAAAATGACATCATGCAAGGCCCATATTCCTCTGGACTGGCTGCGTTGGTGAGCTCAGTTGCTGTTATTTGGGGGTGCAAATCATTAATGTGGTGGGGGAAACAATGACTAAAATAATGTCGAAAGTCTACTGACATCCTCCCTCCATTTACCAATCATGCATAAACAAACTCTCGTCCCAAAAAGTGTCGTGGTAGAACGCGCTGTACACGTGGAGAAAATTTAGATGCACAACTATCGTAGCATATGTTGGGAGAAGAATTCGTGGACAGAGGCTTTAAAATTTAAGCCTTCGCTTTTGCTGTTCAAAAAGATGGTAAAAATATCAACTGCCAATGGATTCTTAGAAATTAAAGATGTCTGCTGTCATTGCAAAGGTGTGGTTGTCAGGTTGGGCTAGTGCTACACTGAACAGCCCCCAAACGGCAGTGGCTAGACCTGAGACCTGACCGCTTCCTGCTCCTGTGGCAGCCCAGGCAGAGCACGGAGCTCTGCACAGGCTCTCTCCAGGCCCAGGTTCCTTCAGAGTGCTGGATCTCTCATCTCTCAACCCCCCACACCCCACCCCGGCTCCAGGCTCTTTCTGGAGCCCTTGTGTCTGGGAGCCAATAAGGAGAGAGAGACAGAAGGAGCAGGTGCAAAAGACGTCTTAGGGAACAGGCCTAGAGTGGTGGGTGTCCTTCAAGTCCCCCCTCCAATGGGCAGGACTGAGCAAGGTGCTGGGTAATCTATAGTCTTTGTCTCCACCACTGGCCGAAATGGTCAGAGTACAGAAGCGACTTCAAACAGATGTAGGGTAACAGAGTGATTTTTAAGGTAATATTGAATCAACTAAAAATCAGGCAAGAAAGAGGAAACGCAAGGGATTCCGATCCCCACGCCCCCCCCCCCCCCCCCCAACACACACACCGCCGGGTGACTTGGCCTCTCTGAACTTCAGTGATGTAAATACAAAATGCAAAACGCCTGCCGCCCTCCTAGGGACGGTGTAGGGATTAAGTGAGAAAACGTGGACCGGGCTTGGCACGCCCCTGACGCAGACAGACCGCACCGGGCCGGGAAGTGCTGACTGTGGCTGTTACTGATGGCGGACACCTGCACACCAGGTCGAGACCGCGCGTTTGTTTAACTGACCTGAAGGGGCTCACCAGCAGAGACACGTGCGGCGGGAAGATCCCGAGTTCGCCTTGGCCCCGCCCCGCGCCTGGCCACGCCCCCGTCGGTGGGGGGCGGGGAGCGGTTGCCTAGCAGCGTGTGTTGCTCCCTTGCCCGGCACGGGGAACTGGGCCATGCCGGAGAACGCCGTGGTCATCCTGCGCTACGGGCCATACAGCGCGGTGGGCCTGTCGGTGGAGCACCGTACCTTCCGCCTAGAGGGCCTGCAAGGTAGGCCACCCGCGGCGTGCGCCCCTGCGCCCTCCCCGCGTCCCCGCAGGCTGTGCCCCTACCTAGACCTTCCTTCCTCTGTCCCGACCAAGAAGCACCTCCTCAGGGAGGTGTTCCCAGAGCCCCCGCCCCCTGGGATGACTGGCTTCCACTTCTAGGAGGTTAAGAGAGGACCAACCTGAGCTGCACTGACCACCAGTATTCAAATCGCCTCGACAGGAAATGCTACCTAGCCCGGCTTTGCGACTGGGAAACAGGCTCAGAAATACTCAAGGGACCAGCAGGTGGCGTGGTGGTTAAGGTGCTGGACACTCCCACATGGCCGACAACGGTTCGAGTCCAGACCTGGCAGCTTCCTTTCTCCCTTTCTCTCTCTCTCTCTCTCTCCCTCTCTCTCTACCTCCCTAT